TCTTAAGGTGCAGTGTTTCAAACTGAGACAATCCACATCCAGAATCCTACCACCATGACAGATAGAGTGGTTGAATTGGAAAATTATAATTGGTAGCCAAAGTGAGTAAAACCAACCCCAAAACATTTTTTTGTTCCAGTTTGTATTTTATTGGCTTTTATGTATCCAAAATACAACTAGATTAGTGTATGAAAGTATACAAAAGGTGTTACAATACCACAACCTCCTTCCCCACCGACCCACAGGCAGGGAGGGAGTCAGGAGAGGACCCGGGGAGCTCTTGCCAGTAGCTCCGTCGGGTTCCTCTCGCGGGATTCTGAGCATTGCCATGGCAACGCTCAGATCTCACGAGAGTGAACTCTAGCCCCCCAGGCTAGCGTTAACTCTCCACTGGACCACCAGGGATGGAAGCAGCAGAAAGGATCCCCCCTCCCTGGCATAAGGTAGGAAGGGAGGGGGGGATATTTACTAAACGGCCCCCACACAATACACACAATCACACAAACATACAGCACCCACATACAGCACCCCCCACACACAGCACCCTCACACATATACACAGCACCCTTACACACACACACAGCACCCTCACAGCACCCCCCACACAGGAACCTCACACACACAGCACCCTTACACACAGCACCCTCACACATACACACACACAGCTCCCTTACACACACAGCACCCTCACACAGAGACTGGAAAAAGAGCAAACGACCCCCTGGCGGTACTTGATCGTGGCCCCTCGTAGTAGCCTGCTGCCTTCTCTCTAGCAATACAACAAGGAGGTCCCCATAGATTGCCATCGTGCAGCCCTCGAAGTGGATATTTCCAAACTCTCTGGGGCAGGATTTGATGACAGAGCGCAATGCGACATACCTGCTACAATGTCACTGGGTGCTTCTGATTAAGTTAGGACAGAGCTCTGCAAGAACAGGTATATGCCGTTACACAACCAGCCAAGGCCCTCCCCCAAATATTTTTTTTTAAGTACATTCTAAAAAACAAAAATAAAGTGAAAGTGAAGAGACAGAAAATTTTAATAAACTATTTGTTCTCAATAAATATTAAGGAGGATCCTATGGCAAGAGATATGTAAATATTGCTACAAAAAAAACTTGCAGAAAATTTGTGATTGGCTGACTCAAGACAATGTGATATAGCCGCAAAAGAAAGTTAATGTAAACAAAGCTCCAGGGGCCTGACAGTATTCACCCATGAGTACTTAAGGAGCCAAGTGTGGATATAAGTGAATCTCTGGTTTTAATCTTTTAAGATTATTTTCTTTCATTAATCACACAAGAGGATTGGGGGAAGATAGATGTGGTTCCTATATTCAAAGAGGGTTAAAATATTTGCCTGGAAATTACAGACCTGTGAACTTAACTTATGTGGCTGAGAAAGTATTTGAAGGGTTATTAAGGGATAATATTTAGGAATTAATTGAGAGGAATATTGTTATTAGCAATAGTCGGCATGGTTTTATGAAACATAGGTCATGTCAAACTAACCTAATTGCATTAT